GGACAATCAGATGTTTCAGAGTGATATAAAGACACTCAAGAGAAAAGGGCAGCACCAGCTTTATTACCCACTGCTATCTTCCAATAAGAAATTCAGGGGGAAAAACACACCAAGAGAAATCTGAAATAAATTCTCAAGCAAGTTGAGAATAAGACAGAAAAACAGACATTTTCTAGAAATGGCAAGGCAGATTTTGTACACAGATGGTACCTGCAACTTGCATAAAAACACGACTGTAGATGTAGCAATGGTGCTTTCTACATAAGTATTAAAGCAGTCTTAAATAAGCTATCTATTCCCTGTCCTTCTAATGCACGCTTCACAGGAAAGGCGTCCAAGTGAGCTGAGTTATCAGCAGAAGCTGTTGCGTGCCAGTTGCTCAACTTAGGTCTGTTGCGAGAGTGAGTCAGGGAGGACAGATAAAGAAAGTATGTCAACACTGGTTGTAAGGAACCTTCTCTCAACTTTCATCTCCTTGAAAGCCTTATCTTCTGAGTCTTTCTCATTCCTCTGTGGCAGTGGTCTTCAATTATGAAACCAAAGAACTTGATGCATACTTGTAACGCTTTTCTGAAGCATATCTTTGCCAGAATTTCTTTCTTCAATAATCTCAGATGTTATCAGGGTTGTATTTTTTTTTTAAACCAACCTGATATTTAAGGATTCGTATGTGTACACTTTTGTCCCTCTTGCTTCAAATGATATGACCTTCAGTGGGTCTGTTAACATCTGTGTTTTGGTCTTGCACCAATGAAACACTGACATACTTTTCTCACTCCATTCCCTGTTTTTTCTTTCACCTCCTCCTCAGATTTTACTAGCAGGATATGCTCTGTGGCCATGATCACTATACTACTAATGGTAATTTGAAAGTCACAGTTTAGGCCAGCACTTGTGCAAATATAGCAGTTTTCTTGCTTTACAAGGGTCCTGTGAGAAGCTGTGTCTATGGTGGGTCTTTTGTGTACGTCTGTCTTATTTTTAAGTGATATTGGGTGACAAATTCAGAGCCATAATTTTCTTTACTGGATGCATAAGGAAATAAGTTTTTTAATCAAGGGTCCCCCCAACTTCTTAACCCCTTCCAGCTTGATCAATGTTTTTTTCTATTCCAATGTATATTCGGGGTCTGGACTAGCCTCTAAAGTAGAGATACGCAAGGATGGATGAATGGACGCTATGTGAATCTTCTCAGGGAGGAAGGCACAGGACAAAACAGATGTGCAGGCCAGAATGCAGCAGGAAGCTAGAGTTTAGAGTGCTTAACAGAACAAGCCAACTACTATGAAGGACAAACAGAAGCTGATAGGTCACAGTTAAGAACACATATGTAACCATGTGTCTTCTCGTGTGTATATTACATGTATATTTAAGGAACGTCCAGATCTTTTAAGATTATTAGAGCTGAATAACTAGAGTACAAAACTACTAGCTTAGGACCTCCTTCAGAACATGGCGGGATCATGGCTGGGAGTTGAAGCCTTTTACCCATATTTTTTAAAGAATGGTTTGGACATCATACTAAATACCTTTGGTTACAAGCAGAGTGTATTAACATTTTATATTGGCCATATGCCACAAAACTAGCAGTGTAAGATTCTGGAGGTAGGGAGATGTCCACTTCTTTGCCAACTTCCTGTCTTCAGTACAAACACACGGGCTATTTGTAAAACATGGTTACCTATGATTAACAAGTGCAGATTATGACCTAACCCCATTTTCTAGGTTTGCACATTCTATTTCAAAATATGATTGGCTAGTTTGTGGTTAAGTGTGTCGTGTGAACACAGTCCCAATCAAAATGCCAACATTTTACCAATTTCAAGAAAACCAAACTTAGAATATGGCAGAAATAGCCTATTTTACACAAGTAGGTGCCTCCAGCATGCTATGGTGATTTGCATGTGTGAATATACCACCACAGATCAGTCGCTGGATACAGTTTTAATTAAAACTTCACATTATATCAAGGATATTAAGACAGTCCATATGTTTTGCACTCAGTAATCAGTGAGAAATCAAGCAATCTATTTGAGTTTGAATTGCACAAACAGACCATGATGGAGAAAATGTAGTTTTCTGACTAAGTGGGATCAACTCAGTGGACTTGGCAATGAAGGAGAATTTATTTTATGTCAGTGTTTCCCCACATTGTTATCTTATTAAAAGGTATTTAAATTTCCAAGAGATGCTAATTGGCTTGTTTCCTGTAAAAAGAAAACATCACATGCTACTAATTTTGTACTAATTGGATCATCTTCCGAGATTAATAATAAATGTGATTATACAATTATTGGGAATACAATTCTTGTTTTCATTCTAAAAATAGAATTTTTAAATGTGTACCATAATCAAGATTTTTCAAAAGCTTGCCAGCTCCAAATGGTAGTTGATGCAGTTGTCACTTGAACTTTCAAAGATAGGTCTTCTGCCTCAGATTGCTGTATGTTTTAATTTGCCCCTCTTTGAATCCTCCTTGCCCTGGCAAGTGCCAGGAAAGATACTGCTCAGTTCTGAGCAAGAATTACTTGCATGGTTGTCAGTTGAAAGGAGTCCCACAAGGCAACCTGGATCACTGCTGGTTTAGCTCTTGATATCTCAATCCCCAAGGCTAGAGGCTTGACTTCCTGAAAAACAAATTGGGAAGGGGGTTGAGATGGGTGGTCCAACTGACCAAATGTCCATTGTCTCTGATATCCTTCATTCCCTCTCACTACTTCAACTTTAAAGAAACATCCATATTTTGGGCCCCTTTGGCTGATTTCCATTCTTTTGTTTTCTTTCTCCACTGGTTAGGCTTTGCTTACCATCATTAGAGGGCTTTCAGTTGGACAGCTCCTGGCATATTGATCCAAATGTACTACTTGGTCTTTTCTCCTAAACTTTTTTCTGTAGAAAACAAGTTAGGAGCCCACTAAGTCTAACTCTCTCACAACATTTCTGCCAAGCCAATGTTTTATTTAAATTCAAGATTTCTGTCCCAACTTTGTAATGCTTATGCTTGACATACATTGCAACTTCAACCACACTTGCTGTGGAGAAGCCCCACCATTCATGGCAAGACAAGGCTGATTCTAACAAAATATGGCTGCCATGCCAGGTACCTGATTTGAATTATTTTTTTACTCCAAAGATGCTTGTAGAACTTTGTAGCCTCAAATATCCAAATAATTCAGCCAGCCTTGAGTAGCATTTATGCACCTTGATACTTTGGTTACTAGTGCAACAAAATGTTACAGTATAGTGTTTCCTGCTTATTCAGGCTCTTTTAGGACAAGCTGTTCAACTGCTCTCTTATTTCTGAGCTCTTTGGTCCTCAGTGGGAAGTGCTGAGATCTTCTCCAACCATAATGAGATTTGGGGGGGGACTCTTCCAAGTTTTAGTGTTCTGAGTAAGCCATGTGATATCTTTGTGCTCATATGTGGTACTGTTTGTCCACATAAGCATCTGAAATTATCAAAGAGATTGGATTTGGTGATCTAATGACCACCAAATTACCAAGTAATTTTATATAAGTGTGGTTACGTATACATGACACATGGCCATGCTTAATTTATAAACTGGGCTGTTTTGCTCCGCACCTAGGAATACTCGGAAGTCATTATTGTCACTGCTGTGTACAGTAGTGCAGTCTACTGCAGCATTGTGGCATTGGTTGTGTTACCACAAAATGCTAATCTGTGGTTAATATAACCATGGCTTTTTCAATTAACACAATTGCCTAGGCTCACATTAAATATTGAACTATAAATTAACCCCAAGTTCACTAACATTTGTCTGGCTTATTTGTAGTTCAATGTGTCATGACAGCAGTCTCTACTTCAGCACAATGTTATGAACCCAACCAGTTTGATCTGTAAACCAGAGTTTATATAGTCCAATGTATGAACCAGCTAATTGTGGCTTATTCAGCAAACCATCCTTAAGCAGATGGCTCAAACCAATGCATGGAGGAGTTACCTCATCTCCTGATTCGCTTCAGGCAACAAAATGCCAGGGGTCAATCTTGGGAGGAACTTAATTGGATAAGTAATTAACTTAAGTAATGAAAGTTTGGTTTGCACAAGAGGTGAAACCTAAAACATGACTGGCTAATTTAGGGTCATTGCCTTGCACAAATCCAGGTGACTGGAATTTCAGCAAACCATTATTAGTTAACTCTGGATTCCTATGTTGCATGAACACAGCCAATAGAATCACATTGCAATTTGCACCATGCCATGATCAATTCTGCCCCATCCTGGGGATGAAATGAAACAAACCCTGTTTTATAAAAGTATTTATTTTGTTTATTTATAACATAAAATTTAACATCACCTCAGGCATGACTAAATTCTAACCTAAATGACAATCAGACCAAGAACTGATAGTGACAGTATATTCCATAGTACAAGGCTGAGATCTCCAGCCTCCTATCATCCCTTAAGGTAGCTTCAATAAATGACAGTGCAAAGCTACCTTTTCCAGTCTACTTCAGGTTCTTCCCTGATTTTCCATGGTTGCTAGCATGACACACTTACCCGCAGTCAACAGAACCATCATTTATCCAATCTTCTAGGTTCACACGACAGCCATACAGCTGCCAGCTCTGGTTTGTAAAAATCAGGACGGCTACTAGATGGGTGAAAAGAGACCCAGAGTATTGCAGACCAGAGTTAATAGCGTACCTAAAGTTACGCAACACAGACTAGGCCAAAATGTGATTGGCTAGTTTGCGACCCCGTTTGCCATGTCAACAGAGTCACCATTTAGAAGGAAGGTTAGAAAACTTATTTGGCTCCTTTTCAGTAAAGAAAGGGCCAGCAGAAAGAGAGCCGCATCCAGCTCCAAAACTGCGAATAGGAAATTTGGAGCAGGGAGTAACAACTAACCCGCAAGCAGCCACACGTATCGGCACTCCTCCGCTCCCCCTCCCCCTCGAATAAAGGGGAGGCACCAGCCCACATTCCCCACCCCTCAGCTCTGCTGCCCCTCCTCCTCGTTTTCCAGCTATAGAGCTTGCGAGAGAGAACGAGAAAGCGGCAGCGATCGCCTTCGGAGAGTTTTGCGGAGAAACTGCGCGGAGGGAGGGGGGTGGGTGGGCGCGGGCTGCAGGAAGAAGCGACGAGGGATCCGGCACTCTCCTTGCTCCTTAACTGCTTCCTACTTTGCACGGTAAGAAAGCACTCTCAGCTGCGGCGGGGCCTTCTTTTGCTTTGCTCGACTCGGATGTAGTAACACCTCTAGTACTAATAAAAATAGCTAAAACGCCGAAGGAAGAGGAGCTGGGTGGTTCGGGGGCTCCCTCTTCTCACTCGTCTTGGGAACGCAGGCCGAATCGGGCTACGGAGTCCCCGAACGGGGCTCGCGGTGCCCTCGGAACGGCTCTGAAAGCGTGGGGTCTTCGTTCCCAACAAACTAGTTGTGGGTCCGTCCAAAGGCTTTTCCTTCGGTGGGGGTGAGGGTGTTGCTTTCGGCCGTGGGGCTCAGACCCTCCTTGACCCAGTTGGAAAGAACGGAGGTTGCAAAAGGGGGGCGGCGGGGGGAAGAGAGGCACCCAAGTGGAGGTCTTGGCCTGCCTTAGCCTGGGTCCTTCCCTTGAGGAAGGCTGCCTGTGAGTGTCAGATTCGCTGCGAGACGGCGACTCCTTAGCCTGAAACCTTCGCTCCCGTCCCGCGGGAATAAAAAAATTGCTAGGCTGGCCATCTGCCGAGATGAGGCTTCGCCGAGAGGGGTGCCCCTGGCCATTAGGCTTGTCAGTGCAGTCGCGGGCGGGGGGCAGTCGATCGATCCTGAACGAATGAATTAAACCGCTGCTACCTTTGAGGAGGAAGTAAGTGGAAAGCATTGACAAAGGAGGATTGGCATTTCCTATGCTTTCCTTGAAAGCGATCTCTTTTTCATTGTGTATTTTGCTGGACGCCTTGGGTCCTTGTAGAGATGCTGCTGTGGTGACAGTTGACAGCCTCTTCTCTCCCAAGCGGGGTAAATCGGAGGAGGAATGAAATGTGAAATCGCGGAGCCAGCGGTAGAATTCCTCCCCACCGCACGCCTCTGCTACCGAAGTGCTTAGAAGTTGTTAGTTTCGTCACCGAATCATTTATTCAAAATATCTGGGGAAATAAAATAACTCTGTGACAGAGCTGAGGTTTGTAGGCAATAGAGCAATGTAAAGTATATTAATGGTGCAGATCCCAAATTGTGGGTGGCGTTACAACCATTAAAACTGGGTGTCAGTTTGATTTAGGAGGAATGAACTTTTCTAATTACCCAAGTCTGTCCTGGCAGATTCCTTGCCCAGAAGTACTGTGTATGTTTGTACAACATTCTTAGCCATGCTGAACTGAATTACAGCTTACTGTGTTTTCATGGGATACTGAACCTTAAACTAACTGCACAGGTTGGTTAGCAAAACACACTGGGATCAAGATGACTGACTATTTTATGTTTCAATGAGCTGTGTCAACATAACCTTAGTGAACTTTAAGAAATAATTCTGGAATATTTCTAAAATACTGTCCTTTATCTTGAATACCCCATATATACCTCTGCAATCCTACTAAAGGTGGTGATGCAGACAGGATCATTTATTGATTTCAAATAAGCATATTTAAAACTGCGTCCATTTAGGTGATCCTGTGCTTGCTGAGAGTATGACTGGCTTCAGTCTCGCTTGTGTGTGTTTCTAGAGTAAGGCTGGGCTGGGGCAGGTCGCATAACATAGTAAATCAAAATGCAGCCAATTGTGATTTATTTAGTAAAAGATGTTTAAAGAAACCACGGGTTAATGCAGTGTGTGATTATTTCCTGAGAGTGCCTCGAACACCACAGTCCCACACATGTTTACTTGTAATCTTGTACCACTGTGTTTGGTAAGAAAGTGTTTGGTTTTCTAAGAATGTGCAGTAGCCTAAGGCCAGTGTCCCACAAGGCATTATACTATAATCAGGCAATCACATTTCAGCCTAGCGTGCTGTGTGAACCCAGCCCAGAGGCCTGTGGAAGGGAGCAAATGATGAAGGTAACATCATGCTGTTGCAACACAAACTCCACCCCTTTTGTACATGTGTCGTGATGCCACACTCCATATGGAAGGGATGAAGTTTATGGTGCAACACTGCTTTTTTTTTTAAATTGTGACAAAAACCTTCAATCTTGTAGATGTCTCTGACCCAGCCTATTGTGATAAGTATATAGTTAAAAGATGTCTATACCCAGAAAAATGGGTGCTTTGAGTAATAATTTAATAAACCATGGTCAGTTAATCATTTTGTTCAAGTTCAGCCATAGTCTGAGGCTCATTAGTTTGGAATGTTGTCAGTGTAGGATAAAAACCAGACAGTGGTTACTTTTATAAAGTAACTGGTTGTCAGTACAGCTTTTTAATTAGATTTACACATGTGGGAAACTGATTTACAACCTAAGTGATCTGAAAGTAAATCCTATGAAACACAAAGATACTTTCTTCCCACCAGGTGTTTAACTATGCTGTAAGTGCTTCTTATGAAGGCACAAGAAGTTCAGTGATGTTTACTTTCAAGTTAAATAGGCTGAAAATTACAGACCTAGCGAATATTTTATTGCCATTAATTGGAGTTCATGTGCACTGTTCTTCTTTTTAAGATCCCATATTTGATGTTCTTTTGTTTTTATTGTTATCTGGCAATTTCTGTTTTTCACTGTGATTTATTTTTTCTCATATTTCCTTTTGGTGGGGAAGGAACAGACTATTTGTTTTGAATACTAAGGATGAATTTGGGGACAAAAAGGAAAAGAAATGAGCAGTGCTATGAAATGCCAGATCAGTGTATTGCCACCAGGTTCTGAGCCTAGATTAGGGTGCTCACTTGATCTCTGTGAATGGCGAGCAGCCTAGATCATGGGAAAGATAATGACTTCTCCTGTTGTGCCCATCCGGATTCTCAATGAAACACCAGCAAAGACTTAAATGTTAATCTTGCCAGAATTAGTTTCAGTAAGATCTAACTTAGTTCTTTCTGAATATGCTGGACCTCGGGTTTCATTATCTGGAAAAGACCAAGCTAGGCATTTGTAGTCTACCCAAATATCTCTCCATTTCTAGGTTCCTATTCTGGCTATTTTGAGGATTCACACATAGTACTCATAGTGGGATAGACCACCATCTGGGCTGGTAGAAAAGGTAATGGATTTGAAAGGCAGGAATTTCATCATCAACCTAAGACCTGGCCGGCTGGCTGGCTCAGGGCTTTTTAGCCACCTGAACAGCCACAAAGCTTTCTTTGGTAATCCAGTGACAAGAAGGGTTGGAAAGGAACAGTCCAAGTGTTTTTTGTTGGTTTGTTTGTTTTTGCATCTGTGTGATAATTGTTATAACATAATTTTTGTTATGTTCATATAACTGTCTGCTAAGTTACAGTGTAAGCTATTGGCGACTTTATCCTCCCTAACAGTAAAGGATTGTTTTGGATGATATTCTACCCTTGGCACAAGATGGATTCAACTGTCCTGGGTGATTTTCTTGCTAGCATGGTTAGTACTTTTGCATCCTGCTGATTAGAATTTGGAATGAACCCAAGTAATCAACATGATCATTGTTAGACATTTTTTCTTACTGGTTAGAGCTGTATTACTTTCCTAGTGCTCCAGGGACTTTGGGGCAATTAGTGAGTAAGGAAAATAACTGGAATGCAGTTGGAGAAAAACTTAACAATTCTAAAAAACACTAGCTAGAACCAATTTGGAAGCTTACGTGACAATGAAGAGAATGGTAAAGTTGTACTTCTCAGCAACCATTGTGTTTGCGTTTAGTGGAATTTTTACTAAATGTAAGGATCCTTTTTTATTTTGGCCTTCAGGCAGATTCAGTTATCCTTGGAAACCAATTGTAATAGCCTTGCTAGGCATGTTGCAGATAAAATTACCTTTGTTTGTCCCAGTATATTTGCAGTATGTTCTTAGAGCTTCGTTGGTCAATAGTTTGGGGCAAGAGTTTCAATGACTGAAGCTGAAAATGTGCTGGTTGTACCAGACTCTTGGCTAGATGGAAATGACTGGCTGGATCTGGAAAGTAAGGAATTTCTTTTCAAAGGTAGGGAGCTGCCTTGAGGGAGGAAACATCTTTTCTTAAGCCCAGTGTTCACATGAACAGTTAAGATCTTGGGCTCATTCTTAGGATTTACCTCCTTGTGAGGCTACTGCTGTGGAGATCTTTTTTATGGCAGCACACAAATTATAGGGTACTTTAGGATATTTTTTAACTCACTGGATTTTTATATTCTGCTTTATCCCACCATTTTATTATTTTATTAGTATATGGTTTTGTTAACTTCTTTGGGGCATAATAGAAAGTGAGAGATTCTAAACTGTTACTTAGAATTAATTCCATTGAATTCATCTAATGCACTTTCATTGAAATGCATTCAAAACATTGGCCTGAGGCTCTACTCCTGAATGTACTTATGTTGAATTTATTTGCATTTAATTGTGTGAGCTAACTAAAAGAGGCGTAAAATGAAATGTATGTTTGAAGTTGACTGTAAACAGGTAATTCTTGACTTACAACCACAATAGGGACTGGAAAATTCATAATTCAGTGGTGTGGCCATTAAGTGAGGTATCACATGACCACACCCGATTTTATGAACTTTTTTGCCACGGTTGTTAAGCAAATCATCTCAATCATTAAGCGAGACATCACATAATCTCCATTTGTGACCTTCCCTGCCTGCTTCCCCATTGACTTTGTTTGTTGGAAGCTGTCTCAGAAAGTTGCAAATGGTGATCACATGACCCCAGGATGCTGCAGCCATCGTAAATACATGCCTGTTGCCAAGCACCCAAATTGTGAACATGTGACCTTGGGGATGCTGCAACAGTCATAACTGCAAGGACTAGTTATAAGTCACTTTTTTCAATACTGTTGTAGCTTTGAATGGTTGTTAAATGAATGGTTGTAAGTCTAGGACTTACCTGTATAAGAAAGTACGAGCATAATTAGAAGCCACTATGTTGTGTCACTGAAACAGAATTTATTTTATACATACATGCATACATACATATATATCATTTATATGGCTGCCCAATTTGGACAATGTAACTCTGGGTGGCATACAAAAAATCCCATAAGAAAAAAAATACCCAAATCTTAAAAACAATATCTGTTTTTTGCTAGTATTATATCTGTTAATTGTTAA